ATACTTCATTGTGGAATAGAAAAGGTAAAAATAAAAATGTCATTGTTGCAAAAATTTAGTAAATATCTTTAAATTTTTTAATACTATTAGGAAAAGATTTATGCATAGTATCTCTAAACTATTTTATTATTTTAAATTATATATTTGTTCTATTAATAAAATATATTAAGTTTCTTTTTATTCTATATTTGCAAGCTGGATCATGGAAGAATTATCCTTGTCCATGCAAAGGTAAAACGAATCAGGAAGACATTGTTTTATATATATTTCTGTATTTTATAAGAACGAGATATTATTTTATTTACACGCGTATAAAATATGATTTTATTTATAGATGCACAGCCGCCAAAATATAGGCAGGATGATGCTAGCAGTCCAGCGGAGAAGAACTCGAGTAAAACTGGAACAATCTTGTCCGAAGATTATGCGGAGATCGTCGACGAAGAAGGAGATTATTCGACGCCAGCTAGTAAGTATTTATGTCTTCATTATTCACTTTAATGTGAGTTAAGATCGAGAATGACTAAAAATGTAGTTAAGTATTTTTTTTATATACTGTATTTTTTTTTACATTTTAAAATACGTGAGAGATGTTTAAATTAATTTTCTTTTGATTAATTTTCTTTACAGCTCGAGACTATGAGATAGTTCGAAATCAAGTAGAATTAGGCGAAATCATAGGGGAAGGACAATTTGGTAATGTTCATAAGGGATCATATAAAGGCAGAGATGATCAAACCGTCGCTGTTGCTGTCAAGACTTGTAAGGTTGATGCAGATCTTGCTACTGCTGAGAAATTCCTCGAAGAAGCTTGTACGGAAATTCAATAAATTATATATTCATTATAATAAAATAAAGTATATAAACATATATTTTCGAGATAATAAATTCAAATTTTAGATATTATGCAGCAGTTTGAGCATCCGCATATTATCAGATTGATCGGAGTTTGTTCAGAAGCACCGATTTGGCTTGTAATGGAATTAGCCAGACTCGGAGAAATGCGTGCTTATCTCCAATCTAATAAACATCGTCTGGACCTTGCCACACTTCTACTGTATACTTTCCAATTGAGCACTGCCCTTTCATATCTCGAAAGCAAGAAATTTGTGCACAGGTACTTACTACTAACAAACAAAAGCTATTTATTATTCAAATATCACAGTTCATTATATTCTTGTAATTAATCGTTTTATTTATTATTGCAGAGATATCGCTGCAAGAAACGTGCTAGTTTCATCGCATAGTTGCGTTAAATTGGCAGATTTTGGCCTTAGTAGATGGGTCGAAGATCAAAGTTATTATACCGCGAGCAAATGTAAGCTACCAATTAAATGGATGGCGCCGGAAAGTATAAATTTCCGAAGATTTACTACTTCATCTGATGTTTGGATGTTCGGTTCGTTTTTTTTTTCCAAAGTTATTCTATAAAAATTACTATCTCTTAAAAGACACGTTTAATGAAACTTGATTGTTATTCCAGGTGTATGTATATGGGAAATTTTGATGCTAGGCGTAAAACCATTCCAAGGCGTGAAAAATAACGAAGTAATACGCAAGTTGGAGAACGGAGAGAGACTCGCACTTCCCAATCATTGCCCGCCGCGATTATACTCTTTAATGTCTCAATGTTGGAGCTACGAACCTAGTAAGAGACCGACGTTTAAAGAAATTAGAGAAACTTTACAGTGAGTATTTAAAAAGTGTTAAACTGTAAATATATTTTTTTTTTCAAGTTATATTACATGCTCTTTTAAATCGTTATAGTGAGATTTTGCTAGAAGAGAAACATCAGCAGCAAGAAACGATGAGACGAGAAAACAGAAGAGTTCAAGCCATGTCTTGGGGTATGTATCTATAATAATTATATGGCTCTATTTTTCAATAAAATATGTACATGTTATTCCGATCGATGTTATCGATTATATCTATCAAATAATTCGGTTTATAGGTGCAGACGATGTGCCGCCACCGAAACCCTCCCGGCAACCACAAAATACGACGGAGCAATTAGCGGCACCATCCACGTACATCGTAGCGCAAAGTCCCGAGGTTCTCACGCAACTTCTCAAGGACAACCAAGCCAGAGGGGTATGTCCCTCCGTGTACACAACACCCGCATCTCCCTTCAACACCCTGGCGGTCCAATTTCAGGATGAGGATCAAGTTCTAACAACCGCCGTTGTGTCCGATTTACCCTTCTTTGATCCCGTGCTTTCCGAACCGCCATCCATCACAACTCAGTCGGGTGATTCCACCCTGTCTGACATCAACTTAGACTCCCTTGATTCCTCGGATAACACTCCCCTCATGTCGAGCCTGAGCATTTCAGACACGGCAGTGCAGACGCAGTCGCCCGCCGCCAACCGAAAGCAGCAGAAGGTTAAAGAGATGCAAAACTTGTATGCGGTTAGCTCGAAGGTGGTTGGTAGCATCACGGGGGACCTGTACTCCCCCGTGCAGAAATTCTCCGTGTCCAGCACCGTTCCGTCGCCACCCGCGACCGCGTCGGTCGTGTCAGCCGCGGTCGCGGGCAACACCTGTGGCGAGATATATGGACCGGTCACTAGTTTCACCCAGAGCTCAGCTATCGTTGGTAATCTCAGTCAAAGCGCTGGTTTAGGTGGTAATTACAATGAGGATTTCGAAAATTTTGATCCTAGTAGTTTGGGCAGCAGTATTATAATACCGAATAGTAGCAGCCAGGCGCAGTTTGTTGCGAGTGGTTCGCATGCTCTCAATCAGTCAATTAATTACGGTAACTTCACAACTAGTAATAACATGAGCCAAGTATTTGGTGGCGGTCAATCTACGAATCAGAATGTTAGCGGTGTGCAGAGTGTTGGCGATAGTATTAGTAGTAGCGGTGGTGGTAGTAGTGGCGTTGTTTATTCTCGTAATATTAGCTTGGCGAATGTAGGTAGTTCCACATCAAATTCAGAATGTTTGTATGGTCCGGTACTCAAGTTCCGTGCACAAAACGCCCAACCACAGTTGGCCGTAGCTGCAACTGTGACCGCGACTGAATTGAAACCCGTCGGCGCGGTAGGACATTACGGACAAGCCGGAAGAAGTAATCTAGTAGTGCAGAATCTACAGTCGCAGCCAATATATTCACAGAATTATCCGCATCAGCAGATTTATTCGAATATCGCTCAAACGGGACAACAGTCCATGTATCTGTTGCAAATGCCTCACATGCAAATGCCGCAGAATATCACGCGGCAGAATGTCGTTTCCCAGGCGGTGTCTTACGCGATGCAACACACAAACCAACAGTCTCAATTAAGCGGTGCCAATCCTATTTACACGGCCCATGCTACGTCCGTGTCGGTGGTCCAAGCTCAGAAGGTGCACATGCCAAATTATACTCACCAAGCTCAGTCCGGAATTAGTTGTCAGCCAGTGACTTGTCAAGTAACCGGCACGAATCATTCAGCGAACATTGGAATAATGCAAGCTTCCTCTGTTCCATCACACTCTGTTATGTCATCCTCGGCGACTCAGCAAAACATCCATTCAATTCCATCCGCGTACATGGTAGATCAACAGCAATCAAGTTTCCTCGGTCCAGTTGATTATCAAGTGCACGCTAACATCGGCAATGTAATGACAAGCCTGACGGGTGCGCATCAGCAACAAATAGCGCAATCTCAGATGGCTAGCGGCATCGCGAAGGCCGCAAATATATCACAAGTCGTAACGGGCATCGCCAAAATCACCACCTTCGTGACACCACAAAAGCAGGATGAGCAGTTGACAAGCTCGACCGATGGCACTCTCTCTGGCTCTTTGATCTCTTCTGCTGTCAGCGACAGCACCGTGTCATCTAGCAGCTCGATGACAGAGGAGGCACAACAAGATCAGGTTTGACTATGACCGCCTCCTAGGAATGTGACAAACATGTCTTCTGTATTTTTATCACGTCACAGTCTTGTTTTAGTTTTTCTATCTGGTCCACAATACTATTGTATCACATTACACTTTAGATACATACACGCGTGCACGCGCGCACACACACACACACACATACACACACGCACACGCATCAAATGTATATTAATATTACGTGCTTCTTTGGTGTATGCAAGATACGTACGCACTGGCTCGCAAATGAATCTTCTACTTTGTCGCAATGCGATTGGAGAAACTTATTTTTTAGCAGAAACCTTGACTTGCCGCTCAATAGGTTAATAATTTTTGCATGATAATGGATGTCACTGATTATTATAATAATCATTTAAATACTGCATGTACATAGCGAGTACGCGAATGCACTACCTTTGTTTTAAATTTATTTTATATCTATCGAGAAATATGCGTCTCTTTAATTTTTCCTGTACATACGTTTATTTTATATTATCAAGAAAGGATTGCAACATAAATAATTACGAAATTATCCCATTTTTGTAATATTAGAAAAGAACTTACAAATGTCGGATTAAAAAATGAGTCACACTTTTAACGTAATATCATTTTTATTGTGTTTTAGAGGAACATCCATTCACAACTATTCGATAACCTAACTGACAATTTCAATAGCGGCATTGATGACGAACAAAAACTACTGGAGCAACGGTTATTGGAACAACAACGACAATCTGAAGAGGATAGCCGGTGGCTCGCAAGAGAAGAAGTATGTTAAAAAAAAAATTCCGTTTCAAGTCCAAACCAAATTAGCATGCAATTTATAAAAACTGAAAGATATACTTATAATTGTATATAAATATTATTAAGTACGAAGATTCACTTTGATCAAAAATAGGATCTCAGTCTAACTTTTACTAGCAATTGTTTTTTAAAGTTTATTGTTAATTGAAATGTTCCAATCTTCATTTTTCTCTTGACAGAAACGTTTATCGATTGCTACGAGTGGTGATGAAAGTGCTAGTCCCACGATTCCACGATCAGTTACTCAATCACCGAGCCACGAACCGCATACTGGCTCTCTTGGCTCGGATAAGAATTCCGATAAAGTCATTGTAGTAAAGGTAAATTACACATAATGATTTTATTAATGCAAATTATCCAACGTATTCATAAATTACTTTTTGTAGAAAATGGAACCTACACCTACAGCAGATTTAGACAGAACTAACGATAAAGTATACGACTGCACAACAAGCGTTGTTCGTGCAGTTATGTCATTATCGCAAGGTAAGGATGCAAATCGAAAAAATAAATAATGGCTAAATACACATACAGTAATTAAATAATATTGTCGAAAGAATATATTGTAATATACAAAACAAATGAAAATGTAAATTGCAGGTGTTCAACAGAGTAAGGCTGATCAGTATTTAGAATTAGTACGTAGAGTAGGTATTGAATTAAGAGCATTATTATCCTCTGTGGATGTTTTGGTAGAAATTTTACCAATATCCGCGCATCGTGAAGTAGAAATGGCGCATAAGGTATTAAGTAAAGATATGGCAGAACTTGTGTCTGCCATGAAACTGGCACAAAGTTACAGTGCCACTACATTGGATGCTGAATATCGGAAGTAATTATTATTTTGAGATTATCTCAAGAAATTGATACAAAACATTGAGAATCATCGATAAACATTTACTATTCTTCTTTTAGAGGAATGCTTTCTGCAGCTCATATCTTAGCCATGGATGCAAAGAATCTTTTAGACGTAATCGATTCCATCCGTATTCGTTATCCATATGTAGATAGTCAGATTTGCCAAAGGCAGAGCAATGTTGTTAACAGAACACGAGAATCCACACCCGAGAATCGCATTCGTTCGAGTCAATCAGGCGAACAATTTCTAAGGAGAAGTCAGTCGACCGAACGACAAGGAACGACCTTTAGACAAAGTCAAAGTGGTGATTTATTACACAGAATGGGTCAATCTGTGGACCGATCTTTGCCGGTAAGTTAAATTTTTCATTAAGATTATTATAATTTTTCAAATAAAATTAGTAACGAATGACGAAATAAAGCTAAATTGAAAAATATCTGCTTACTTAGGGAAGTCAATCCGACTTCAATTCCGGCAATAGCTTAGAAAGAAGACACAATACAGTTACCAATAGCCTTGAACGTAACTCAACAGCGAGAAGACAAATGGCCACTAACAGTTTAGAAAGAAAAAGACCCTCATTAGCATGTAATGTAGGGCCTATAAATAATTCTGTTAATTGTTTGCCTATGGTGCCAGTCACTTACAATTTGGTTCAGACTGCGAGTCCCGTCATACATCCAAGTCAATCGATTACAACGGGTGTTAATCAACAGACAGTGTTTACGACCAACAGTAAAGTTACAAGTGAGACTTCGATAAATGACAGCTAACAACGAGACGTCTTGAATTAAGGTAAATGATAGTGAAATGTATTCCTTCATATAAAGAGACGATTATTTAGATGATTATTAATTTTAAATAATTGATTCCAGGACTTTGAATCATTGCTTGCAATTAGTATGTATATAAGTAGACGATATACTACCAAGTTACCCGTGTTACACATCTACACTTCAATATTTTAACAACGGGAAATCTAGGGTACGTTCCACTTAACGTTCGCAACACTCTCGTGCATCATTTCATCCTTGTTTAATTTAATAATAACAAAGATGAAATAATACTCGCGAGCGTTATGAATTGGAATGCACTCCTAGTATTTGTGCTTTTTAGCTCTTTTTAACATTTAAATATTGACATTTTATCTAAGCGTACTTATAGATAGGATAGTATTCGTTAATTATAAGAGTAGGAAGTTTATCACTACAGAATTTTAGTCACAGCTATAATGAAATCATAACTCCAAAGGATTTAAGATTATCGTTACTATTTGTTATCTAATGATGGCATATACGAAATGACGCAAAGTTACATTGTCCCATAAAGATAAGAGTATACACTATTAATTTTATTATGATAACATTAATATTGACATTATTAAATGAGATATAAAGGTCTCAGATTTATTCACGCTATTCGTATTTATTCTGACATTGCACATGATATCGCAAAATTTCTTGATTTTATCTGCGTCATCTCGTATAATTAAATGATAATGTATACATACGTACAAATATATTTTAAAAGTATGTATGTATATATTATATATTTATACACATATATTTAAATATAAACAATATTTTCTCTTTTTGAGCAATACTGCGCGAGAATATAATTTCTTGTGAAACATAATCAATGTTGTTTTTAACGCAAATTCATAATTTCGTAGTCTATTCCTATTTAGGAATATTATGAGCAGTAATTATAATGTAAAAAGAGGAACTGAATGTGTTATTTTTATTTCATATAATTATTCAATGATTATATTAGTTTGCGATATTTATATATGAAATGTTTTATTAAAAGCAAAAATCATTTTTTAACGAGTTTAGTTTCTACAAAGTATTTTTAACAAGTTCCAGTTTTGCATAAGTATACCATTAATAGCTCATCAATGCATTTTGCAGCAATGTATTCATATATACGGTGCATTTAACAAAACCGTAATCGAATACTTTGTACAGTTTGTAGCAGGGTTGCCAGATTTTTGCCGGGTGTCGATGAAAGGATAATTTACACTGGTGTAAGAATTGACCAATCACAGTTGGAAATAAGGGGAAAATAATCGATTATTGATCAATTTTTACAATTACGGCATAAGTTAACATTACAAATTACGGCCTATATAAATGATTCTTAAGCCTTTATCGCCTAAAAGTCGCCCAACTGGAACATGCTTTCTAAAAAAAAAAAAGTAGGAAACAATTATACTCATATATTCATAATTACACTCGATTTATCCTTGTTGTCCCAATGTTAAACAAGGATAAAATGATATAAGGGCACGTTTCTGAACGCAACCTTGCCACAGACTTCTATTATAAAGGCCTGCGCATACATCAAATATTGGAAACAGGAGTAAATATTAAGATTTCAACCTATCAGATACCAATTACACCGGAATACGGTTCCTGATAGATTGAAATCTTAATATTTATTCTTATTCCTAATATTTTCTCCATTGTGCGTAGGGCTAACAACCCTAGACCACTGACTCGTCCCTTTAACACAGGGTCTACAATAGAATATTGTCGTAGGAAAATCGTACTTAAATCGTAGAAAATTAATCAATTACAGTCAAATATGAAAATAATAATCAATTATGATTGATCAATTTTCTATGACTTAAGACTTTATGACTGTCACGATTTTTATTGTAGATAAACTGTTGTAAATAAACTCGACTTAAAGCCCTAAACACAATGTGAAAGCAACAGCGATAGCGATAGGAACAGAGAAATCCAACATATGCATTTCTGTATGTTAGATTCTTCTATTGCTATCGCTATTACTATCGCTATTTCTATCGCTATTGCTGTTGCCTTCGCATTGTGTTTAGAGCTACTGTTGCCAAAATATACGTATTATGTGCGCAGAATAAGTACATTTGCATATTGCGCATACTTTCTGTATACTTTTGAACCAATCACAGAAACGCTAGATCACCTGACCTGTTGGCATTTCTTTCTGTGTGTGATCTTATAGCATTTTTCGTTGGCAAAAGCATTCTAGTGCGTACTTAGTGCACATTAAAGCTATTACACTATTCAAATCTAAATGTACAATATAAGTGAGATATCTCAATTAGTAAAATGCCCAATGTGTATTTTATCAAATAGCACAAAAAATGTATTAAATATTTTGCAGTTCAATTCTGTATTTCTATTAAACGTACATCTTTATGTCGATTTGTGTACAATGGCTTTAAAGTGCACTGAATGCGCACTAGTTCTGCTAATGCACTCTAAACGCTATCATTGTACTCATCTACTGTGTGCAGGCAACACTTTTAAGGAAAAGTGGGAAGTTAGCAGTTTAGTGTAATAATGTAAGTCTATGAACCTTGCACTGTTATCCAGGGTTACCAGATTTTAGGCAACTTTTGCATTGCATGACGCTGCATTGACATCTGTATCGCCAGTGTAACACTAAAATAACCCAAAGTATCCCAAAACTATTTATATCAGGCTGTATTGGGCTATATTATATTAGCCTGTTACGCACATAAAATTTGAATATTGCAAACTTGTGATTAAAGTTACTATATCAGCTAAAATTTGTCCGCCAAAATTACACTTGGGGATCAATCATGTAATTTTAAATGAAACTTTTCACATTTCATCTTTCATTTCTCATTTTTCATTTTTCATTCATCGAAATTTCACAAAAACTGTACACATAGCAATTAAGCTAGAGCGGGGCTATTCCATCAGTTTTAACTTTAAAATAATACGAAAATCTATGATAGCAAACAATATATTATACAATATATTTCTTTACAGTGATGTACTTATAATTACATTATGGCTGTGTTCGATTTGCACGCTTACACGCTTTAAACACTGCTTACATTGTTCGCTTTGGCGGTTTAAGTACTTAGAGATGCGTTCATAACGTCATCCGTGACGTCATACCGTGCTCATAAATGCTTATTTCATCGAGATAGGGCAGCAAAAGCGTGAGCGCAAATAAGCGCTTATTGGCCAAAATGAACGTGAGCATGTTCGATCCTAATCCTAGTAGGTTAAATCCATGCACGTTTTTTTATGATTAGAGAAATGCTTAACGAATGTATTGGATTGCGTGCATATTTTAACGCTATCGTAATACTTGTATACAACATCTACAAACGTTTCGATTTTGTGCTAAATAAAAAAATGACTTTGTTCGCCAACAAGAAATTGGATGTTTAAATTTTCACCAATAAATAGGAAAAAGAATTTACTCATACAAAGATGACATTAACAGATAAAGTTCTAGTTGATTTAGAAAATGCACAGACTGAGAATATATACTGAGGATATCTCGAACCCCGATGAAGTACAACGACTTGAATGCACCTAGAAGAAATCAAGAGATAAAACAAAAAAATTGTAATATTTTGTTTAAATAGTACTAATGGAATATTTATGCGTACAGTAAATAAATATTTATTTTAAGAAATAATACTTAAATCAAAATATTACTTTTTATTGAATAAATTTTTATTCGCTATAGCAAATGTCTCATTGATACTATTTTGAACAGATATTTATTAAAATTTTATAAATTTTTATCTTTAATCTATAAGAAGCGAATTACTTATGGTCAATTATCAATTAATCCCAAGCTTAACGCTTAATAATCAAAATAAACGATTTACTTATTTAATGTGAACACTGACAAACCAAATTGAACCAAAAAATAACGCTTATAAGCATGAGCTTGTAGCGTGCAAATCGAACGCAACCTATACAAACATGGTTGAAAGCACAAATACAAGCTTTAGATGCACTGGCTTCTAAGACGATATTCATAATTCGTTTTTAATTCAACGCAAGTTTTTTTAATTCATCGCTTGATCAATTGCATTGTGTGCAAATGTAATTTTGTTTCGTAAAAGCTGTTTGCGCATAATGTGATTGATCTCTCAAAATAATAATCTTTCAAAACAGTGAATGAAAATTTTTTATGTGTACTTATCGACATTTAGTTTTTACTCAAATACTATGAACTTTACAGAAAAACTGCAAGGAGCAAAAACCATTTCTTCTCATAGAACTCTAAAAATTTTTTCAGAATTTTTTATGAAATTTTTAGTACTGCATTTTCTTATTTTCGATAAGTCGGGCCGCTACTATGATCCAGTGAATTAATGCACTGCACTGTAGTCGTGATTAGAACGGTTACAACACTTTTTTCAATAAACTTTGGAATACAGCCTGCTCATCTATCGATTGGTTCTTACTTATAGATTCATAAATAAAAACCAATCGCTTGATGAGCAGGCTGTATTCCAAAACTCATTGAAAAAAAAAGCGTTGCAATCGTTCAGTCCATGATCGTACATGATACATAAAAAATTTTATGTTTTCGCACTAGAGAAAAAGTTACATAATCCCAAAGGCCCTTTTTGTTCTGTAACTTTTAACGACAATAGGCGCATTTAGCTCAACAGTTGAGTTCGCTGAACGCAGCCATTGATCGCGTTTAGCAGACTCAAATCCTAACAGCACAAAGTCGACTCTAAGTCGACTCTGAGTCGATTATAGCTTCTAGATGTCTAAAAAATGGACATCCATAAGTCGACTTTAGACGACTTGGAGATGTCTTTAAGTCATACAATGTCTCACTTTAAAGATGACTGTAAGCCGACTTTAAGTCAACTATTCTAGGCTGTGGTCCGAGGCTTCATGTCCACAACGCTCATGAACAGCATTCATCCTTGTTTACTATAGTTAAACAACAAGGATGAAATGATTCCACATTTAAGCTTTGTGAACGTAAATCGCACTAGACGTCCTAAAGTCGATATTGGAAGGACGTCTGTACACAGTCGACTTACAATCGACTCTAAAGGCCTTAGCAAAGTCAACTTACAGTCGACATTGTGCTGTTAGGAAACTGTTGCGGAGCGGATCCATAAGGGCTCACTACTATTAACTGCGTTCAGCGGATTCAACAGTTGAGTGAGTGCTCGCTGCTATTGCTTTATTCTTCCAAATCTAAAATGCTGATTGGATAATCTAAAAGAATGCACCAATAACAGCAAGCGTTCAACTGTTGAGTCCGCTGAATGCAGCCATTGATGTATTCTTCTAGATCATCTATAGTGGTGATCGCTCACGGATCAGTCCGCTCCGCAACAGTTGAGTTTGCTAAACGCGATTGTCGTTAAGATGGTTCTTCAGTAAAGTGTCGAAAATTTGGGGTACCTCACCAGGGCCCAAAATTACAAATATTGTATCTACATAATTTGGATAAAATATTAAAACTACATGATCTTGATGAAACAGAATGGAACACACGATAGTAAATCAAAAGCTGCATTTTTATTGAACGAAAACAAGATGAGATTGCGTGCCAGCCGCGGTCGCGGGCAACACCTGTGGCGAGATATATGGACCGGTCACTAGTTTCACCCAGAGCTCAGCTATCGTTGGTAATCTCAGTCAAAGCGCTGGTTTAGGTGGTAATTACAATGAGGATTTCGAAAATTTTGATCCTAGTAGTTTGGGCAGCAGTATTATAATACCGAATAGTAGCAGCCAGGCGCAGTTTGTTGCGAGTGGTTCGCATGCTCTCAATCAGTCAATTAATTACGGTAACTTCACAACTAGTAATAACATGAGCCAAGTATTTGGTGGCGGTCAATCTACGAATCAGAATGTTAGCGGTGTGCAGAGTGTTGGCGATAGTATTAGTAGTAGCGGTGGTGGTAGTAGTGGCGTTGTTTATTCTCGTAATATTAGCTTGGCGAATGTAGGTAGTTCCACATCAAATTCAGAATGTTTGTATGGTCCGGTACTCAAGTTCCGTGCACAAAACGCCCAACCACAGTTGGCCGTAGCTGCAACTGTGACCGCGACTGAATTGAAACCCGTCGGCGCGGTAGGACATTACGGACAAGCCGGAAGAAGTAATCTAGTAGTGCAGAATCTACAGTCGCAGCCAATATATTCACAGAATTATCCGCATCAGCAGATTTATTCGAATATCGCTCAAACGGGACAACAGTCCATGTATCTGTTGCAAATGCCTCACATGCAAATGCCGCAGAATATCACGCGGCAGAATGTCGTTTCCCAGGCGGTGTCTTACGCGATGCAACACACAAACCAACAGTCTCAATTAAGCGGTGCCAATCCTATTTACACGGCCCATGCTACGTCCGTGTCGGTGGTCCAAGCTCAGAAGGTGCACATGCCAAATTATACTCACCAAGCTCAGTCCGGAATTAGTTGTCAGCCAGTGACTTGTCAAGTAACCGGCACGAATCATTCAGCGAACATTGGAATAATGCAAGCTTCCTCTGTTCCATCACACTCTGTTATGTCATCCTCGGCGACTCAGCAAAACATCCATTCAATTCCATCCGCGTACATGGTAGATCAACAGCAATCAAGTTTCCTCGGTCCAGTTGATTATCAAGTGCACGCTAACATCGGCAATGTAATGACAAGCCTGACGGGTGCGCATCAGCAACAAATAGCGCAATCTCAGATGGCTAGCGGCATCGCGAAGGCCGCAAATATATCACAAGTCGTAACGGGCATCGCCAAAATCACCACCTTCGTGACACCACAAAAGCAGGATGAGCAGTTGACAAGCTCGACCGATGGCACTCTCTCTGGCTCTTTGATCTCTTCTGCTGTCAGCGACAGCACCGTGTCATCTAGCAGCTCGATGACAGAGGAGGCACAACAAGATCAGGTTTGACTATGACCGCCTCCTAGGAATGTGACAAACATGTCTTCTGTATTTTTATCACGTCACAGTCTTGTTTTAGTTTTTCTATCTGGTCCACAATACTATTGTATCACATTACACTTTAGATACATACACGCGTGCACGCGCGCACACACACACACACATACACACACGCACACGCATCAAATGTATATTAATATTACGTGCTTCTTTGGTGTATGCAAGATACGTACGCACTGGCTCGCAAATGAATCTTCTACTTTGTCGCAATGCGATTGGAGAAACTTATTTTTTAGCAGAAACCTTGACTTGCCGCTCAATAGGTTAATAATTTTTGGATGATAATGGATGTCACTGATTATTATAATAATCATTTAAATACTGCATGTACATAGCGAGTACGCGAATGCACTACCTTTGTTTTAAATTTATTTTATATCTATCGAGAAATATGCGTCTCTTTAATTTTTCCTGTACATACGTTTATTTTATATTATCAAGAAAGGATTGCAACATAAATAATTACGAAATTATCCCATTTTTGTAATATTAGAAAAGAACTTACAAATGTCGGATTAAAAAATGAGTCACACTTTTAACGTAATATCATTTTTATTGTGTTTTAGAGGAACATCCATTCACAACTATTCGATAACCTAACTGACAATTTCAATAGCGGCATTGATGACGAACAAAAACTACTGGAGCAACGGTTATTGGAACAACAACGACAATCTGAAGAGGATAGCCGGTGGCTCGCAAGAGAAGAAGTATGTTAAAAAAAAAATTCCGTTTCAAGTCCAAACCAAATTAGCATGCAATTTATAAAAACTGAAAGATATACTTATAATTGTATATAAATATTATTAAGTACGAAGATTCACTTTGATCAAAAATAGGATCTCAGTCTAACTTTTACTAGCAATTGTTTTTTAAAGTTTATTGTTAATTGAAATGTTCCAATCTTCATTTTTCTCTTGACAGAAACGTTTATCGATTGCTACGAGTGGTGATGAAAGTGCTAGTCCCACGATTCCACGATCAGTTACTCAATCACCGAGCCACGAACCGCATACTGGCTCTCTTGGCTCGGATAAGAATTCCGATAAAGTCATTGTAGTAAAGGTAAATTACACATAATGATTTTATTAATGCAAATTATCCAACGTATTCATAAATTACTTTTTGTAGAAAATGGAACCTACACCTACAGCAGATTTAGACAGAACTAACGATAAAGTATACGACTGCACAACAAGCGTTGTTCGTGCAGTTATGTCATTATCGCAAGGTAAGGATGCAAATCGAAAAAATAAATAATGGCTAAATACACATACAGTAATTAAATAATATTGTCGAAAGAATATATTGTAATATACAAAACAAATGAAAATGTAAATTGCAGGTGTTCAACAGAGTAAGGCTGATCAGTATTTAGAATTAGTACGTAGAGTAGGTATTGAATTAAGAGCATTATTATCCTCTGTGGATGTTTTGGTAGAAATTTTACCAATATCCGCGCATCGTGAAGTAGAAATGGCGCATAAGGTATTAAGTAAAGATATGGCAGAACTTGTGTCTGCCATGAAACTGGCACAAAGTTACAGTGCCACTACATTGGATGCTGAATATCGGAAGTAATTATTATTTTGAGATTATCTCAAGAAATTGATACAAAACATTGAGAATCATCGATAAACATTTACTATTCTTCTTTTAGAGGAATGCTTTCTGCAGCTCATATCTTAGCCATGGATGCAAAGAATCTTTTAGACGTAATCGATTCCATCCGTATTCGTTATCCATATGTAGATAGTCAGATTTGCCAAAGGCAGAGCAATGTTGTTAACAGAACACGAGAATCCACACCCGAGAATCGCATTCGTTCGAGTCAATCAGGCGAACAATTTCTAAGGAGAAGTCAGTCGACCGAACGACAAGGAACGACCTTTAGACAAAGTCAAAGTGGTGATTTATTACACAGAATGGGTCAATCTGTGGACCGATCTTTGCCGGTAAGTTAAATTTTTCATTAAGATTATTATAATTTTTCAAATAAAATTAGTAACGAATGACGAAATAAAGCTAAATTGAAAAATATCTGCTTACTTAGGGAAGTCAATCCGACTTCAATTCCGGCAATAGCTTAGAAAGAAGACACAATACAGTTACCAATAGCCTTGAACGTAACTCAACAGCGAGAAGACAAATGGCCACTAACAGTTTAGAAAGAAAAAGACCCTCATTAGCATGTAATGTAGGGCCTATAAATAATTCTGTTAATTGTTTGCCTATGGTGCCAGTCACTTACAATTTGGTTCAGACTGCGAGTCCCGTCATACATCCAAGTCAATCGATTACAACGGGTGTTAATCAACAGACAGTGTTTACGACCAACAGTAAAGTTACAAGTGAGACTTCGATAAATGACAGCTAACAACGAGACGTCTTGAATTAAGGTAAATGATAGTGAAATGTATTCCTTCATATAAAGAGACGATTATTTAGATGATTATTAATTTTAAATAATTGATTCCAGGACTTTGAATCATTGCTTGCAATTAGTATGTATATAAGTAGACGATATACTACCAAGTTACCCGTGTTACACATCTACACTTCAATATTTTAACAACGGGAAATCTAGGGTACGTTCCACTTAACGTTCGCAACACTCTCGTGCATCATTTCATCCTTGTTTAATTTAATAATAACAAAGATGAAATAATACTCGCGAGCGTTATGAATTGGAATGCACTCCTAGTATTTGTGCTTTTTAGCTCTTTTTAACATTTAAATATTGACATTTTATCTAAGCGTACTTATAGATAGGATAGTATTCGTTAATTATAAGAGTAGGAAGTTTATCACTACAGAATTTTAGTCACAGCTATAATGAAATCATAACTCCAAAGGATTTAAGATTATCGTTACTATTTGTTATCTAATGATGGCATATACGAAATGACGCAAAGTTACATTGTCCCATAAAGATAAGAGTATACACTATTAATTTTATTATGATAACATTAATATTGACATTATTAAATGAGATATAAAGGTCTCAGATTTATTCACGCTATTCGTATTTATTCTGACATTGCACATGATATCGCAAAATTTCTTGATTTTATCTGCGTCATCTCGTATAATTAAATGATAATGTATACATACGTACAAATATATTTTAAAAGTATGTATGTATATATTATATATTTATACACATATATTTAAATATAAACAATATTTTCTCTTTTTGAGCAATACTGCGCGAGAATATAATTTCTTGTGAAACATAATCAATGTTGTTTTTAACGCAAATTCATAATTTCGTAGTCTATTCCTATTTAGGAATATTATGAGCAGTAATTATAATGTAAAAAGAGGAACTGAATGTGTTATTTTTATTTCATATAATTATTCAATGATTATATTAGTTTGCGATATTTATATATGAAATGTTTTATTAAAAGCAAAAATCATTTTTTAACGAGTTTAGTTTCTACAAAGTATTTTTAACAAGTTCCAGTTTTGCATAAGTATACCATTAATAGCTCATCAATGCATTTTGCAGCAATGTATTCATATATACGGTGCATTTAACAAAACCGTAATCGAATACTTTGTACAGTTTGTAGCAGGGTTGCCAGATTTTTGCCGGGTGTCGATGAAAGGATAATTTACACTGGTGTAAGAATTGACCAATCACAGTTGGAAATAAGGGGAAAATAATCGATTATTGATCAATTTTTACAATTACGGCATAAGTTAACATTACAAATTACGGCCTATATAAATGATTCTTAAGCCTTTATCGCCTAAAAGTCGCCCAACTGGAACATGCTTTCTAAAAAAAAAAAAGTAGGAAACAATTATACTCATATATTCATAATTACACTCGATTTATCCTTGTTGTCCCAATGTTAAACAAGGATAAAATGATATAAGGGCACGTTTCTGAACGCAACCTTGCCACAGACTTCTATTATAAAGGCCTGCGCATACATCAAATATTGGAAACAGGAGTAAATATTAAGATTTCAACCTATCAGATACCAATTACACCGGAATACGGTTCCTGATAGATTGAAATCTTAATATTTATTCTTATTCCTAATATTTTCTCCATTGTGCGTAGGGCTAACAACCCTAGACCACTGACTCGTCCCTTTAACACAGGGTCTACAATAGAATATTGTCGTAGGAAAATCGTACTTAAATCGTAGAAAATTAATCAATTACAGTCAAATATGAAAATAATAATCAATTATGATTGATCAATTTTCTATGACTTAAGACTTTATGACTGTCACGATTTTTATTGTAGATAAACTGTTGTAAATAAACTCGACTTAAAGCCCTAAACACAATGTGAAAGCAACAGCGATAGCGATAGGAACAGAGAAATCCAACATATGCATTTCTGTATGTTAGATTCTTCTATTGCTATCGCTATTACTATCGCTATTTCTATCGCTATTGCTGTTGCCTTCGCATTGTGTTTAGAGCTACTGTTGCCAAAATATACGTATTATGTGCGCAGAATAAGTACATTTGCATATTGCGCATACTTTCTGTATACTTTTGAACCAATCACAGAAACGCTAGATCACCTGACCTGTTGGCATTTCTTTCTGTGTGTGATCTTATAGCATTTTTCGTTGGCAAAAGCATTCTAGTGCGTACTTAGTGCACATTAAAGCTATTACACTATTCAAATCTAAATGTACAATATAAGTGAGATATCTCAATTAGTAAAATGCCCAATGTGTATTTTATCAAATAGCACAAAAAATGTATTAAATATTTTGCAGTTCAATTCTGTATTTCTATTAAACGTACATCTTTATGTCGATTTGTGTACAATGGCTTTAAAGTGCACTGAATGCGCACTAGTTCTGCTAATGCACTCTAAACGCTATCATTGTACTCATCTACTGTGTGCAGGCAACACTTTTAAGGAAAAGTGGGAAGTTAGCAGTTTAGTGTAATAATGTAAGTCTATGAACCTTGCACTGTTATCCAAGGTACCAGATGTTAGGCAACTTTTGCATTGCATGACGCTGCATTGACATCTGTATCGCCAGTGTAACACTAAAATAACCCAAAGTATCCCAAAACTATTTATATCAGGCTGTATTGGGCTATATTATATTAGCCTGTTACGCACATAAAATTTGAATATTGCAAACTTGTGATTAAAGTTACTATATCAGCTAAAATTTGTCCGCCAAAATTACACTTGGGGATCAATCATGTAATTTTAAATGAAACTTTTCACATTTCATCTTTCATTTCTCATTTTTCATTTTTCATTCATCGAAATTTCACAAAAACTGTACACATAGCAATTAAGCTAGAGCGGGGCTATTCCATCAGTTTTAACTTTAAAATAATACGAAAATCTATGATAGCAAACAATATATTATACAATATATTTCTTTACAGTGATGTACTTATAATTACATTATGGCTGTGTTCGATTTGCACGCTTACACGCTTTAAACACTGCTTACATTGTTCGCTTTGGCGGTTTAAGTACTTAGAGATGCGTTCATAACGTCATCCGTGACGTCATACCGTGCTCATAAATGCTTATTTCATCGAGATAGGGCAGCAAAAGCGTGAGCGCAAATAAGCGCTTATTGGCCAAAATGAACGTGAGCATGTTCGATCCTAATCCTAGTAGGTTAAATCCATGCACGTTTTTTTATGATTAGAGAAATGCTTAACGAATGTATTGGATTGCGTGCATATTTTAACGCTATCGTAATACTTGTATACAACATCTACAAACGTTTCGATTTTGTGCTAAATAAAAAAATGACTTTGTTCGCCAACAAGAAATTGGATGTTTAAATTTTCACCAATAAATAGGAAAAAGAATTTACTCATACAAAGATGACATTAACAGATAAAGTTCTAGTTGATTTAGAAAATGCACAGACTGAGAATATATACTGAGGATATCTCGAACCCCGATGAAGTACAACGACTTGAATGCACCTAGAAGAAATCAAGAGATAAAACAAAAAAATTGTAATATTTTGTTTAAATAGTACTAATGGAATATTTATGCGTACAGTAAATAAATATTTATTTTAAGAAATAATACTTAAATCAAAATATTACTTTTTATTGAATAAATTTTTATTCGCTATAGCAAATGTCTCATTGATACTATTTTGAACAGATATTTATTAAAATTTTATAAATTTTTATCTTTAATCTATAAGAAGCGAATTACTTATGGTCAATTATCAATTAATCCCAAGCTTAACGCTTAATAATCAAAATAAACGATTTACTTATTTAATGTGAACACTGACAAACCAAATTGAACCAAAAAATAACGCTTATAAGCATGAGCTTGTAGCGTGCAAATCGAACGCAACCTATACAAACATGGTTGAAAGCACAAATACAAGCTTTAGATGCACTGGCTTCTAAGACGATATTCATAATTCGTTTTTAATTCAACGCAAGTTTTTTTAATTCATCGCTTGATCAATTGCATTGTGTGCAAATGTAATTTTGTTTCGTAAAAGCTGTTTGCGCATAATGTGATTGATCTCTCAAAATAATAATCTTTCAAAACAGTGAATGAAAATTTTTTATGTGTACTTATCGACATTTAGTTTTTACTCAAATACTATGAACTTTACAGAAAAACTGCAAGGAGCAAAAACCATTTCTTCTCATAGAACTCTAAAAATTTTTTCAGAATTTTTTATGAAATTTTTAGTACTGCATTTTCTTATTTTCGATAAGTCGGGCCGCTACTATGATCCAGTGAATTAATGCACTGCACTGTAGTCGTGATTAGAACGGTTACAACACTTTTTTCAATAAACTTTGGAATACAGCCTGCTCATCTATCGATTGGTTCTTACTTATAGATTCATAAATAAAAACCAATCGCTTGATGAGCAGGCTGTATTCCAAAACTCATTGAAAAAAAAAGCGTTGCAATCGTTCAGTCCATGATCGTACATGATACATAAAAAATTTTATGTTTTCGCACTAGAGAAAAAGTTACATAATCCCAAAGGCCCTTTTTGTTCTGTAACTTTTAACGACAATAGGCGCATTTAGCTCAACAGTTGAGTTCGCTGAACGCAGCCATTGATCGCGTTTAGCAGACTCAAATCCTAACAGCACAAAGTCGACTCTAAGTCGACTCTGAGTCGATTATAGCTTCTAGATGTCTAAAAAATGGACATCCATAAGTCGACTTTAGACGACTTGGAGATGTCTTTAAGTCATACAATGTCTCACTTTAAAGATGACTGTAAGCCGACTTTAAGTCAACTATTCTAGGCTGTGGTCCGAGGCTTCATGTCCACAACGCTCATGAACAGCATTCATCCTTGTTTACTATAGTTAAACAACAAGGATGAAATGATTCCACATTTAAGCTTTGTGAACGTAAATCGCACTAGACGTCCTAAAGTCGATATTGGAAGGACGTCTGTACACAGTCGACTTACAATCGACTCTAAAGGCCTTAGCAAAGTCAACTTACAGTCGACATTGTGCTGTTAGGAAACTGTTGCGGAGCGGATCCATAAGGGCTCACTACTATTAACTGCGTTCAGCGGATTCAACAGTTGAGTGAGTGCTCGCTGCTATTGCTTTATTCTTCCAAATCTAAAATGCTGATTGGATAATCTAAAAGAATGCACCAATAACAGCAAGCGTTCAACTGTTGAGTCCGCTGAATGCAGCCATTGATGTATTCTTCTAGATCATCTATAGTGGTGATCGCTCACGGATCAGTCCGCTCCGCAACAGTTGAGTTTGCTAAACGCGATTGTCGTTAAGATGGTTCTTCAGTAAAGTGTCGAAAATTTGGGGTACCTCACCAGGGCCCAAAATTACAAATATTGTATCTACATAATTTGGATAAAATATTAAAACTACATGATCTTGATGAAACAGAATGGAACACACGATAGTAAATCAAAAGCTGCATTTTTATTGAACGAAAACAAGATGAGATTATGTTTACTTTTCGAGATTAAATTTATATGCAAGTTTATGCATATAAATGTCTTTCCAGAATGGCTGTTAACTTCCTATTACTTTCTTGTAACCATTAAAATCATAATTTTTTTAAATTACAATATTATAATACAGTATAATCATATCCAGTAGCGATACTGAACGTCGGCACCTTTGATGTAAATGTTCTTAAGTCACATGATTCACCGCCATATTGTGAAGTGTACACAGTAGAGTTATGATAGAACAGGCTCTTAAATTTGAATTAAACTTCTAATACATTCGTCATATTCCTAAGTGTACAATCCGATACATGCGCACTAAAATTTGTAGATCACAAAAAAGTTTACTGTCGCTACTGGGTATGATTATACTGTGATTATAATCTTTGAGAAAAGTTTATGGTAAAATTTATGTGCACTCAAAATAAGGCACTATAATATGAGTATTTGCATCCGCCATTTTTAGTCCTTTCCTCATTCTATTGCTCCTTTTTTTAATTCCTTATTGTTTCTCTTCATTCCGCCGCTAAGCTGAGAAGATTAAAGAGAGAAGAAAGAAGGTTAAAGAGAGAACAAAGAGAGGGAAAGAACTAAAAATGACGGGTGCGAATATGGAATACCTATTCTAGTACTCTAGTCAAAGAAGCATCTGTGAGTCTTATCTGTCACTATGTCATTAAGTTATACGTAAAAAGTTACATTTTCAATATTTTTTTCTCTCTTATTTCATTGTTAACCGTAGAATTTTGCATACGTCAATTTTGATACTTCAACTTTACAATTATTATATAAAAAAATTAGATATTTCTATGATAACTCGATTTATTATAGAACCACTTTAAAAGTTACAGAATTATTAGGGCTCTAGTCCATGGCACAGTATAACCATACTTAGTAGCGACACTGAACTTTTTTAGTAGTCTGCAATTTTAGTGCGCATGTGCCGATTTGTACACTTACGAATATGACGAACGTATTAGGGACTTAGGGCTGCCGCAGACAAAATTTCTATTACAGTAACCTTAAGTCGTGAACTTAAACCGATGAGCCAATCAGGATATTGCTTTAGAGCTACGTACTTTAATGGAAATAGAAATAGCAGTAACTTATTCAACTTAGCGAACCCTGATGAAAAAATTTCGCTGAAATTATTCGTTTTGGAACATTTCAGCAAAATTATTGAAAATTTGTTGAAATTTCACTGAAAGTGAATTTTTCAGCTAAAATACTGAAAAATCACTGAAATCCAACAGAAATTTCTCTGAAATTTTCTGAAATTTTGTCGAAAATGAATTTTTCAACTAAAAATCGCTAAAATTAAACTAAAACTTTTTTAAAATGCTGAAATGTTGTTGAAAATTGTTCCAAAAAGTGGAATAATTTCAGTAACATTTTTCCATCAGGAAACCGATTGAAATTCATTTTATTGCGAGGTTATGGATAAGTTTAATGTTATTTCCATTTCCATTAGATTACGTAATCTAAAACAGTATCCTGATTGTTTCATCGACTTCAGTTTACACCTTACCAAGATTGGTAAAGACTAATGTTTTTTTTTTTTTAAAGAATAAAACGTATTGTATTTTTTCTAAATATGTTTTTAATGCAAATATGTTTTAAACAATATTATTTAAAAAACATATTTAAAACATATTAAAAACAAGACACACTCAATTAAACATGTTTTAAACTGTTTAAAACACGTTCAAAACATGTTTTTTTACCAACTCTGTATCTTACGCATACTTTACGCAATTTTGTGTGAGACAGTCCTTAAGGGAGTGTTTATATTGGCCATAACCATATGCCGTATATTGTTGGATTCACACTGAATCCGACGTACTCCGTACAATGCTTTGTAACCAATCAGAAAACAGGATTTCGCTTCGATATAATCATCAATACAAAATTCTGCATTCTGATTGATTGCAAATTGGTTCCAGTGTGAATCCAGTATGCCAGTAATTTATAAAAATTGACCAATCACTT